TAATCTCCTATTTAAGGAGACGCCATTATTGAATGAAGATATCGAATATTCAGTCAAGAAAGAGAGTAAAGGAGAGTTAGGTGATCTCTTGGACAAATCACCCGCAAGTTAGTCAAAATAGGGCCTGTATGCAAGGCCAAGGGCAAGGAAAGGTCTGAGGTTCCTGCGGTGGAGCGACCCGTGACGCGATCCTACGCTCGGGCCCATAACAAATTAACTCAGGCTGCAGTATCTAAGCTTGCTTCATGGCTGTCAGTTAACTCAGGCTGCAGTGTCTAAGCTTTCTGGGTGTGAGATGCCCGGAAGTTGTTGTATCTTTTTCATCCTTCTTCAATAAAATTTTTACCTTCTCAAAAAAACAAAAAAATTCTCTATCTAATTAAATAAAACAGAAGCTTCATCTTAGGTTCCCTAGCGTCGCCCAAAATTGCCTAGACACCTTGAAAACCATGTAGTCTACATAGAATCTAGGCCCATTAAAGCATGGAGGGAGATCTCGGCATCTTCATGGTCCAGTCTGCCAGCTTCGTCCTCAGAAGGTAGGGATGGGTCCATGTTAGCTACCTTGTCATCCAATTGAAGAAGGTAACCCTGTTGGGCCTTGCACTTGTGACCCGGCCCAAACTTGTCTACACAATTTTTTTTTTTTTTTGATAAATGATTGATACTTTATTCATAGTACTTGTCTACACAATTATACCATAATACTTTTTCACACCAAGCCTACATCTCAGCCAAAGATGGGCATTTAAAAGGAACTATTGGTCAGGTTTAGGATTGGGCTGAGGGAGCGGTTGGTCCGCCACAGGTGGTCTAGCCGTTCTTTCAATCTGGCTATACCCACCGCTGCCATGACCATAGCAAGTTGTAATGCCTTGACCTCCAAGCATATATCATTCCTCAAACCACCTATGAAACAGCCCATCAAGGCTTTTTCTAGCCATCCAAAAACTTGGGAGAACAGCTGCTTGAACTCAAGTCTGGTGGGACACTCTCTGACTATTTCTAGCCACCGCCGCACACTTCCTGACTATTTCAACCTGGAGAGCTGCTCATCATAGTCTTCAAATCTGGTGGGACCAAATCTGATGCATAGGGCCTCTGTGAATTCCAACCAAGTCACCTTATGGGTGTGAGCAGCGACATCACTGAAACTAGAGGATTGCATTGTCGTCCAAGTGGATGGATGCAACGGACACTCACTGGTGAGATGGAGTCTCATGGTATTCAAAAATACCACTTGGCTTTGAAGATCCAAGGAATGGAATCACTACCGGAGTAATTTGGGAAATTGATCATGGTTACTCGCTACTTTACCGACATAGGGTGTGTCGGTCCTTCCACCACTGTAGATAGAGCCTTCCATTTCACCATCTCTACGGCTGAACTCCCCAGACTGCTACTAGGAGGCAATGGCAGACACAATGGCCCTGAGTTCCTTCAGTTCTGTGACCACCTGGTGAAGACCTATTTCAATCTGATTGACCTTGCCAATCATAGCCAACTGCGTTTGAGGCATTGCAAGAAGGGATGATGCTTTGATACCAACTGGTAGGAACCGCCTACCTCAGTAGCCTCTTTGAGGAAACTCACCTCCTGAAATGGAATAACAAAGAAAGAAGAATAGAGGGGAAGAAGAAGGAATCAATTCACTACATCTTTATTACATAATCAGGAGCCATATATATTGGGCTCGTCATGAGGATCAGATATTTTCATGTATGCTTGTAACTAACTTTGGTGTCAGATCTGTTGTCATGGCCACTGGTCCATTTTGCCTCCTAACAAATAGCTCTGCTATGGGGGGCCTCTCAATCTGCCTTGAGTGGACTCTTGGGCTTGGGCCCGAGCTAGTGTGGGTTAGAGTTATCACAACAGGTTATGACTCAACTAATTCATTGCGCCAACTAGTCAACCCACTCAAAGAAAAATGCAAAATAAAAGTTCAAAAAATACTAAAAGCTTATAACTGATGTTTTACACCTATCTTATGTGAACACGACTATGTGACAATAAGTACATGTCAAAAGTTTGCAGATGCAGAACTTTTTAACCATTAGATTTGTTATTCATGAAGGTTTAACCATGCCAAAAGTTTGCAGAATAATCATTTCAAACCTCAACTTTGGGACAGGATTTCAAATCAACAGGTCCTATCACCTGGTTCAATCTTAAAAAGCTTTATTCCTACTAAAAATACCAAAGATGTATTCCTTAACTTCCTATGAAACCATGTAACATAAAAAAACCAAAAGAAGATTTAGTTATCAAAGAATCGACCTTCAATGCTTCATAGACACAATTTTATTAAATGTTATCCATGTAAAAAAATATACCAAAAGCATAGATGGTGCATCCTAGATTTCCGTTGTCATAAGTGCAGGCAATTGATGGGAGAAGAACTTTCTGGATTGACTGTCAAAGATCTACAAAATTTGGAGAACCAATTGGAAATGAGTTTGCGTTGTGTCCGTATGAGAAAGGTCAACTAGCCCTAAACTTCATCCAATGCTTACCCTATGATCCTTTTATATCCCCACTTGAAGCGCATGAATGAAAAGTAACACGGATTTTGTCTTCCACAGGACCAGATTTTAACTGATGAGATACAAGAACTAAACCGAAAGGTCTTCCTATAAACACCATGTATCAGATTTTTTATCTTATGGATTGTTTCACTTCAAGTAACTAACTTCATTGAACTCATTGTAGGGGAACCTCATTCACCAAGAAAACATGGAACTTTACAAGAAGGTAAACCTCATTCGTCAAGAAAACATAGAATTGTATAAGAAGGTATGTGTTCAAATAACTTCAAATAAACCTAAGAAAGTACAGATATACATACCAAAACTTTTGATTTTTATATTTTTTTCTACCATTAAATCCTATGGTAGAAAGTAAATTTTGTAACTAGTTGTGCCTAAGAATTTGGATATCAGGTGTATGGAACAAGGGATATCAATGGAGCAGAAAAAAATGCCATTATTCCAAGTGGTTTTAGAATTGGAGAGGACCTGCATGTGCCCATCCATCTCCAGCTAAGCCAGCCACAGCAACAAAACTATGAGACATTGGCAAAACCTACAAAATTGGGGTAAGCTCTTCTCTTTGTTACTCTTGCAATAACTTTAATTTTCATCTTGATCCCAATTACATTTCTCAAATGTTGCAGCAGATTAGAACTGCATTAGAGAAGTGGAATGATGAACTCTGGAATGGTGTCAGAGCAATTCCCATCAATTGAATGCCTTACAATTACAAAGTCATGCTTCTTGCAGAGAAATGTGGTACATGAGCTAGAAAATATATATGTTTGCAAGGAAAATTTTCAGATCTGGCGTGACATTATCAAATAACCAACTTGGTATTTAGTTTGACATGATCAAAAAAAAACATCTGTAAAGTTACATATTAATAAAAATTCCTTGTGTGTGTTTGGTGTTTTTCATTGTTATCTTCATGTTCTTAACTATACATAAAATGGATTGTTTTCAATAGCGTATACTTGCATTTCGTATGAGAAATACAAAATATATATTAAATGGTTATTATACTCACATGAACCATAACAACCAACAATCCAGCAGAGATAAAGCTAACAGAGTACAATCCACCACAAAATGTGTAAAACACCATACCAAAGTACATATTCAGATGTCATCAATTAAAACCTGCCTACAAAAAGAGTGAAAACCCACATCAAGGTTTTCAGTTTATTAATAAGAAAAATAAGAATGCACGTTATTCTGATATAAAGTACACCCTAAAAGAAATTCAACTAACATATTAAAATAATTATAAACATAATATCTACCTTAATATCCTACCTAGTTCTTCATTCATTCATGTTCAACATAATGTCTCGATGTGAACAATCATGTAGACAGCATCATTTCACAGCCTTTCTGTTATAAATAAATGAAACAAAAGTTGTATCAAAAACTATAGTTAATGAATGGAAGACTTTATTTAAAAAGAAGCCACTTGTGTGCTTTTTTGATAAAATTTATATAGTTCGTATACCTTATGAATGTAATACTTTAATAGATTCCATAGGTAAAAAGATGACCATGCCTTGTGTTGTAAGTTGTATAATGCAGATCCCGATTAAAGAATAAAATGGTTTCACATCTGGCAATCGTTTAAACACCAAGACTATTGACCAAGGGCACAGGTTGCCCCAAATTAGAAATCATGCATACGAAATAATTCAAACATTTCCTAGCCACTTACATATAACATAAAAATGGCTTCAGTTAGAAGCACCAAGAGTTCATAAGGCAAATGGTACATAGTGCTTGCCACCAAAACCGGGAAAGGTGGACAACTATCAAGAATTCATAGAGATATACAAAGTTTGTCTGCAGTTGAAGTGGACTTGTATTAGCAACATGAGTTTAAAGGGTGCTATAGTGGTATCTACTATGGGGGGGGGGGGTGAGCATAATCAACCAATGTTTCCTCATATATATCAGCATGAGCGAACACAACTTAAAAAAGGCCCGATTATTCATGGCATCAAAAGTGTTGACACCAGAACTCTTGTTTGTAATAGTTTATAGCTATAGTCCCAAAATTTTCATTTACAGCAACATCGACATATTATAATCAATAATCAAGATGTAGTGGGGAAAATCCTGTACAACATGTATCTGAAGAACGATAATTAGTCAAGCAAATTTAAAGACAGAAAAATAAAGTATTAGGCATCAATAAACTACAATAATTTTACATGTGGAATGGCATCATAAGGTTTTCTGTAAGTATAACTAACGCACTTAGCCTATAAGCAAGCCACAACACCATAAAGGGTTGGATTATTCAATGGCTCAACAGTCATTATTAATTGCATATTGAAGTCCAACTTTCCTGCTAGGTTGTGCTCGGAGCATGGATAGAGGTTATGTGCATTAGTTACATATAGCCTTGGCAGTTCCAAATTTACATAAGTTCCTGTAAGTTCTGCATATCAGTCTATTAGCAACGATGACACAATAACCTGTGGAAAAATATAACAGAGAACTCCATCTTCAGACATCACAGGTCAACCACCACCAGTAACAAGCATAGCTGGTGAATAGCACCAAAAATTTGTTATTAGAAAGTGAAAAGGATAAAGTTTTTAACAGCACCTAGGTAGCCTTTTTTTTTCAGAAAATGAAAACAGAAGATATAGAAAGCTGGTGTGCAATGATGAAGCCAGACGTTCTGTGATTCAGGACCAAAATTAGGGCAGAGAAATGTTTTGCTGCTATGCTAAAACTAAAGCATTTTTAAGTACTCTTCCCAAAATATCATGTGATACACATACCACAAAACAACTTCTATACCACTTGATTTCATAACCATTGATATGCATTTTTTGGTTGTTTGACAATGCAATCAAGCAGCTACAACCATTAGAACAAAGATAAACACAAAAACACATCCAAGCCTATCCCTTAAAACAACTTTGACACCAAAAAAATATCAATTACATTATGTCAAGGATGATTTTCAACACTATATTACTGGAGATACAGGAGTAAACAACTCCCCATGCATTAAGAAAATTGGAGGAAGAAAGGAATAGATATTCCAATCACCAATAATTTAAGAATCTTTTAGGCAAAATGCTAACCAAAACAAAAGTTAGTCAAAGAAAAGAATTTTGCACAGGATCTTTCAGAAGATGCTAAAAATTCTCAGAAGAGCACAAAGACTAAAGATAAATCTCCACTCGCTAAGTTGAAAATAATATTGCAATTTTCTGATAAAAATAATTTGTAGGCAAGGGTAAAAATTTTGATACAACACACCCGTATCGGGTGTATCATATTGTATCGGGAGCTGCCCAAAACCCCAAATAAGGGGTGTTTCAGACTTTGACTATTTTAAGGGGGTAGGCATGCTTAAAACTGACCCCCTTGAAGCAATTTTGGAAAAAACTTAAAATAACGAAGTTATAAAGTAGCGAAAAGACCCGATACACCTGTTTGTGCATATCGGGTGTACGATACTTTAAACCATATTTGTAGGAGAAATAAAAACCCTACTACACAATCCAACCTAAGGGTGAACAAACTTGGTCCCAGCTCTTAACTGCCAACCTAAAAGCATAAAATTACTATTCAGTATCACCAGCATAAGCCAACATCATGTCACCACTACAGCATGCAAACTTCTATCTCATTTGAAGGCTCAAAACAATACCTCCTGCCAAATGATAGTTTTGTAAATTCTGAAAAATAAAAATCCTCGTGCTTATGGCATTTCTTGATTTGTCAATTGAGTGAAACACTAGGCACTTTCAAAGCTTAGTGCTTTGTACAAGCTGCAGAATATCTAAGTGAACAATATGCTTTTCTATGTATTGCATTGTCATTCTCCAATGCACCCCATTAATCATCAGTTCATGAATCCAGTAACGATATGAGATGAGGATAATATCACCTCAAAGAATCAATTAAGGGTAAGTTTATAAGTACCAAGGTCCTCAGTTGAAGGATATCCTGAAGAAACAGCAACAAGGTAACCAGTTGAAATGTTAGCCTTCCTGGCAATGACGGTATATGTTGGATCTTCCTAGCAAATCATTAGATGATAAAAATACCATCATCATCCAAACCTTTTTCCCAACTGTTAGAATGTTAGAGTGATGTTCAGCTGATAAGAGTTCTTATTAGCCCATTCTTATGTCTAACTTATCTTGTAACTGGGCTTGTGTTAATGGGCCTAATCCTGTTTAATGATTTAAGTCATCTGGGTGTCCCATCACTAATCAGGGGCATCCCAGTAATTTCTTGTACCTTGTACTATATTCATCTATAAATAAAGGACTGGTCGACTGGCTAGTACAGTTCGACATTCTCTTCAGTTATGTGGTTCTCTTCTCTTCCTTGCTACTTCGAGTATAGCTCTTCAGATTACACCAACTATATGGGATCGGCAACATGCATGTATTAGATTACATAACCACTTCGATTTTTGTATACATCATGCATGTCATGGGCCTAAACAACCGCATTATGTATTCCTTCCTATTCCCAGTGCCCTGTGCAAGGGGATAATAATACATTTAAGTTATCTATAAAAATAGATTTTCCCACAATGGTCATTCAGGACCATACATTTGCACATCAATCATCATAAGTAAAAAAAAAATGGCATTTCACAAAATAACACAATATTTGGTAAGTATGAGTCAAAGTTGGCCATTATGGTCCACATTTAATCTTGCCAAAGAACCAGAATCAAAGAACAAAGAGAGACGAGTAATGCATATGCAGACCCTACGTTAGAATACTTTAAAATAAAAAGTGTTAGGTTGAAGGGTTTTATGTATTGATGGTTCAGCTGCTAAGTGTCCTTATTAATCTGTATTTGTGTTTTAGTTGTTATGTACTGGGCCTGTGTTAATGGGCCTAAGTTTATTTGTTGTTTTAAGTAGTCTGGGTGTC